GACTGTGAATACAGCTATACGCTAGGAGCGAATCCGTGGGTTCGCTATCTGACACCGGTCACTGGCGTGGGTATAGTTGAGAAGTGGGAAAAGCCTGACGACGGTCTCACTAGTATAAGTCGATGCTTTTTTGAGAAGCGAACAGAACTATTTTTTGCCGAATTTATTATCGTTTAACTATTTAATTTTTCACAAGCATCAAATTCTGTCCACAATGATAAGAGAAAAAAGATTTAAAATGGGAATTACCTTCCATTTCTAATTACGGAGAAGATGCAATGCAAATCGGAGGCACTTGAACCTGAAAAAGTCGGATGAAGTGCTCGAGTACGAAGTTGTTGTGGGATAACGACAACACGACAAATGGGATAGATTCTGGGCACTTAAGATGGCGAAAAGCGATAAAAATAGAAAGAAAAGACTTGTGACCTCTGTGTAAGCCACGTCTAAAAACTGAGGTTCTCTTTGGACAGTAAAAATCTGCTCAAGATTTGGACAAAGATAGAGAAATAAACTGAATAATACGAGTCTGGTTTCCATACAAACCAAGAAAGTGATTAACTATTTGATAAGAGCACCCTAGTTGAACATTCACTGCTACAATAACTTTGAGAGAACAAAGAAACACGATTCAAAAATATGCGTAAAGAATCGTTTAGCGCTGCAGAGACGAAAACGAGGGCTAGGAAAAGCAATAACTGCTTCGAAATGTCATTCAAGCGCGACACTTCAGAGAGCGGTAATGACGAACTTCTACTTTACGAGCATTCCTAATTAAGCAAGCTTAATCCATCTGAAAGGACACGTAAGAAAATCAGATTTGCAATTCACGACCTTGATCGAGCGTCAACGACGTAGCGTACCTAAGGGTTATGAGGCAGGAATTTTCATTCGTGACACCTGCAGCATTGAGTGCACGCCATAACGAAGTCAATTTCGCTAACAGCCAAACGACAGCTTTGAACGGAAGCACTTTCATGTTTTATGTTGGAGATTTTGTTAGACTGACAAGAGAGCATTCAGCAACTTCATGGTAGAGTCCAAAAATTCGAAAATCAAGAGAATGGAATGAAGGAAAACCATGGGGACATCTCCATTTCGCGAAAAAAGTTATCCGAACTATAAACCAAGCACCTTATATTTTTAGGGCCTTCGCTTGGAAAGAAAACCAAATGAAAATTATTCGTTGGCAGGCAGTTATGGAAGATCACAGTCACCACAAGGGCATTTCGACCTGGAACTTTATCATGTTTATTTGTAGCTTTTTTCGATAAAGTTTTGCGATTAAGGTGCTATCACCTCACACATTTCTGCTTGCCTAACAGTGGACCAGTGTGTACCAGATAAGCGGAACAAATAAATCGTTCTTACCCCTTACTCAGAAATATCGAGGAAATTCGTACTCGGGCTCAATCTGTAACTGAACTCAGCCTTTTATAAGCCCAGAAAGAGATAACCACAGTTTAAGGCAGTCAATTTCCCCCATACAATTTGACAAAGAATTTTCCTGATAACGGAAAAGGAAAGCTGTTCAAAAAGGTTGTCAAAGGCTCGTTAGAAAAGAACGTACATGAGAAAGATGGCCGATTGCAACGATCGAGAGGATAAACACCCATGTGCGTCGATACTCGATGGAATGTTGGTAAAATCCAAAACAACTAAACCGTCCTCGCACAAGTCAACCAAGAAATCAAAGAACAAGAATATGAAAATTTGAATCACGGATTTAGAGGTCCATGTGAAATTCATCAAATAAAGTCGTAAGTCTCAGTTTATCAGAAGCGAAATTAGAAAATAGCTCGAGAACAGCTGAGGAAATTCCATTACACACTACATTCCATCCACCGCACTCCTGATGATAACTTCCTATTTTACCCTACCTTTAGGGCATTGGATGCAAAGCTACCCATGTGTGAAAAACCTCGGCAAGAACTTTCTTCTATTAAAGCTCTTTGGGACTAACTTCAGGAATGGAAGGTCCGAGATGTATGAGCAATTTACATTTTCCCCAGAGTTTCTCCCCCCCTTATAGTTAGGCCTAAAGTAGTAGGGAACGAAAATCGGCCACCTTACCAACCACTTCGCCCATTAGCAACTAGAGCCATAACTTGCCGATATAAAAACTCGATGGAAGAGTAGAAATATTCGCCAGCATATCACACTAAAGGTCTTGAGATTGGAAAGCTCACAAACAAATGCTTCTCTTACTAACAGATCGCCCAATCTCTTTATTTCATAAACAAAAACATGCTCATACCCAAGACGACATAACTTGTGTGATAGCATAGCTACCAGATTTCGGGACTTTTTTTCTAATCCACAATTACACCCTCCTTGAAAACTAGTTCTAGTTCAATACCGAGCGATATTGAGTTAGTGAATAGTCGAACAAACGACACTTTGTTGCCATTTGGTGGTGTGTGCCCTTGAATATTTTTCATGCATTAATCCAACGTGTGAGTCATTGTTGAGGGACAAGTGATGCTCTACAAACTCCATTACACCATTTCAAGTAATCATCGTTGAATGAAGAAAATTCTTTGCAACATTAAGTCAATAGTACGCCGTCAGAAAAGAAAAACCAAAGTCCGCTGCAAGAGTGGCTTTGAGTAACGCTCTCGTGACTCAAGTTTGTGAACAGTCGCTAGCGAATCGCGCGATTCGCTGGCGATTAAGTGAAAACTGACACTCTGCGTTACTCAGCCTTCATTAACGACAAATTTCGGCAACATCTGCTGGCTGTGATAGAAAAGAAGCAAAGCAATTGACTCCGCTTAGGCTGGTGTCAGAGTCCGCGATCCGTAGAAGTTTCGCCGATTTGCGCGATTCACGCGACTTGCGCGAAACCTGCGACGGATCGCAAAAATTGCAAGTGCCCCATTTGAACATTTGAAACACTGAATATGAAACAAGTGGAATCATGAGCAGTCGTCATTCAGCCATCACTATCAAGCAGAAGTGGCGGCAGGATTGGAGAACACCTTGCAGTATTGATCGGGCACTTGTGATTTCCGTGACCCGTCGCGTGAATCGCGCAAATCGCGAAATGCGTAAACGCGACGATGGGTCGCGGACTTGACACCAGCCTTATCGTAAAGCTCTCGTCCATAATCCGCATTGCGATTTGCGCGATTTTCGCGATTTTCGCGATTTGCGCGATTTCGCGATTGTCGCGATTTCGCGATTGTCGCGATTTTCGCGATTGTCGCGATTTTCGCGATTGTCGCGATTTTCGCGATTGTCGCGATTTTCGCGATTTTCGCGATTTGTCGCGATTTTCGCGATTTGTCGCGATTTTCGCGATTTGCGCGATTTTCGCGATTTTCGCGATTTCGCGATTTGTCGCGATTTTCGCGAAACCTGCGATGGATCACAGGAGTTGGAAGTGCCCGATGAATACTGCGAGGTGTAACTCATAACTGCGAATTCTGCTTTGGCAGTAAAGATTGGAAGACGAATGTTTGTGGTTCTACTTGTTTCATGTTCAATGTCTATTAGTTCATTGAAATGCTCTTGAATCGTCCTATTTTGTTCTTTTTTTTTCAGGAATCAAACCAAACCAATCACAAAAATTGCAAGTGCCCCATTTGAACAATTGAAACACTGGATATGAAACAAGTGGAATCATGAGCAGTCTCCATTAAACCATAACCATCAAGCAGAAGTGACGGCGGGATTGGAGAACACCTTGCAGTATGGATGGGGCACTTGTAATTTCCGTGACCCGTCGCGCAAATCGCGAAAATCGCGACAAATCGCGAAAATCGCGAAAATCGCGAAAATCGCGAAATCGCGAAAATCGCGCAATCGCGAAAATCGCGAAAATCGCGAAAATCGCGCAAATCGCGAAAATCGCGCAAATCAATCGCGGACTCTGACACCAGCCTAAGCTCATCACCAAGGACGGTCTTCCAGGCGTGACAAGCTTTTTGAAAACGATCTTTTGCATGATATAGGGGCACATGCGGGAACCACAGAACCATGGTTAATTTTTCCTGAACGGCCCTCTGAATACCAGAAAAGGGGTCCCTAGTTCGATTCCTCGTGGTGACAAATTTTTGCATTTCGAGTTGACGTTCCAAAATTCGCGCAAAATGGAGTTAGCATGAATAATTAGTACCATATTCATGATTAGGACCGTCAGTAACCCTTACAAATAGACTTTGATTAAAAAACTGGTGAAAAGTCGTGACACCAAAAGCGG